AGAGTTATCTCTGAGGCTCCTCACCCGTTGCGAAGTAATGAATCCACTGGTGATCGAAAACTTTGAGAAGCTTTTGGAGCTAAATCCTCAAACATGTTTTATGACTTTGTACTACCTATATTTAACACAGGATGTCAGCCCTTCAAGAAATATTCCCAATCGTGTAGTCTTCTCCGATTTCGGCAATTCAGTGAATTTTGATTTATCTATGACGCAGGAAATCCGCGGAATTCCAGAGCATCATCGTCCTATGATTGCTCCGTCATTATACGCTGCAAAGTTTGGCCATGTTGATTCTGCAAGAACGTTTTTCACAGATGGATCTCTAATAGAGGAGTCCGCTGGTTTTGGTGTATTTAATGAATTTCATAGCGCCTCTCGAAAACTTGAAGCTCCTTGTTCTGTGTATGTGGCTGAACTGGCAGCAATTCACTACACTTTGGAAACTATTGCTTCACTTCTTCCAGACCACTACTTTATTTTTACGGATAGTCTCAGTTCTGTCGAGGCTATCCGTTCCATTTGGCCGGTAAAGCACTTCTCGTATTTTCTCTTGAAAATACGAGAACTGCTTAGTACTTTATCCGTGCGCTCTTTCATCATCACCTTCGCGTGGGTCCCTTCGCATTGCTCAATTTTGGGCAATGAGAAGGCGGATTCACTTGCGAAGGTGGGCGCTATGGAAGGCGACATTTATGATCGACAAATCGCCTATAGTGAATTTTTCTCTATTTATCGTCAGCAGTCGCTCGTTAGCTGGCAACATCAATGGAGTGAAGGGAGCTTGGGACGATGGCTACATTCAATTATCCCTAAGGTGTCGAAGTTTGCATGGTTCAAAGGGTTGAACTTGAGTCGAGACTTCATACGCGTGATGTCTCGTCTCATGTCCAATCACTATTGTCTAAACGCTCACTTGTTCCGTGTGGGGTTGGGAGACAGCAATCTCTGTGAATGTGGACAAGGTTACCAGGACGCTGATCACATCCTTTGGTCTTGTGCGGAGTATCGTGAAGTCAGATCACATTTTTATGATTCCCTTCGGGCTCGAGGTAGACAACCTAATGTTCCAGTTCGGGATATTTTGGCTAGACGCGATCTGGAGTTTATGAAACTCATATATGTTTACTTTAAGGATATTAACCTTAGATTGTAAGTTTGATTAACCTTGTGTTTAGTTTGTATTTTGTACGTGTGGGTTTTTTTTTCAATGTTTGTTTTCAACATGAATAGAAATAATTTCATGCTTTAGGATTAATTAAATAGTTGTATCGTAAACCACATTTCAAACCTCCTTCTTCCCTTTTCCCATCCAAAAAATTGTAAATCTCCACTAACCTCGAGACAACCGCGAGTACTCGGTCCAGTTCCTTTAACTTTAAATTTAAGACAGTAATAATGTATAACGCAAAGGATAACTCGGCTCTGTAAAGTTTATTCGATTGAGCCTGTACAAATAAAGTAATTAAAAAAAAAAAAAGATGGCCGATGTTGAGGCTTGTTTTTTTCTGTCGGTCCAAGTTCCATTCCCGTTGGCAACGATCTGAAAACAACATTTGGAATCTTCTTCCAATGCTTCCTTGTTTTCAGTGTAGCGCCAAATCTTTCCGACAAAAACATAAGTTTTTAATCCTGATGAATTTGAGCGTCTTAGTGGAATACCTGTAAAATGAGAGAGAGAAGGATTAGTATTTTCCATTTGGAAAATACTAATCCTTCTCTTAAGTTTTCAGATCGTCGCCAACAGTTTTGTACATTGGTGGTACGATTTGCAACACAAACTTATTGATCACGACAGCAGCCAAATGTTTGCATAAGTTGCAGTGAACGCCACCTTGAAACAATATTAAAGCAAATTACAGTTGAGTCGATGACCTTTTTAAAAAAAATCAGATCTCTCGGTAATTTTCGATTTGCATATCGTGTGTGTGTGTGTGTGTGTGTGAGTACAATCCATCGCCCTCTGCACCGGCAGAGTTTTTATGGAAGAAACTTATCTGCATTTTCTGTATGTCGAATATGCAAATATTTTTAGCCCTGGAGATGGAAGGTGACAGCTCTATCGTACATCAAACGACCCATTTCAAGAATGTCTGTTTCTGCACGTACATTCTGAGGTCATTTTCTGATACAATAAGCCCCGCAAAAATACACAAGTGTATTCTCACTTCCAGAAAAAAAACTTTTTATTCTGGCACGTATTTAGTTATAAAATGATTGGGATATATGTGTAGAATAAAATAAAAAGCAAGTGTACTTATCTGGTTGTTCTAATGTGATGAGTGAGTCTCCATCGCTCCGCAACTCGTAAATTTGTTTTATGCATCTAAATTACCTTTGTTGTGATACATCCTTCAACGAAAACAAATTTTATTGTATTCCCCTGCTTTTCTGGGAGGACATTCGCGTCCCATGTCACTGGTCATCTTTAGGTCACCCAGCACTTGGAATGTGCACTCCGTCGGTGTTATATGCAAATTGCAAAGAAAGAAAGAAAGAAATACATACAACCGGGATTAGTTTCAAGAAGTGATTATTTTCATCGGATTCCCCAACTAACCATATTATCGCAAAGTGAGTATATACAAAGCTTTATTGCGACTATATGGTTACTTGGGTACCCATAGGCCATCAGAATGGTTCATCAGTTGCAAATTTAGGCATTTTTTTTTTTTTAATTATGCGTTATGTTTCTCAATGTTTTGACTGTATCCTATTTTAGTTCAAAATTATACCTTCACTACCCAAACAGCATTGTACACCTTATGAAAGTTTCAAAACCTTCTTTAAGTTTAAATACTGGTGTAAACAACTCTTACAAAGTCAAAGTTGCTGCTTGGGTATTGCAACTACGGGTAATCATTGAAAGTACTTGCATTTTACTCAGGCACTTTTGAGCAAACTGTAACCACCTTCTCATACTCGAAATGTGCCTCGACCAATCTGGCACAACGATGCCCTATACGCTCTCTGACCAAAGCGCAGGGAAGTTAAAGTTAAGTTTAAGTTAAGTTAAAATTAAGTTAAAGTTCAGTTAAAGTTAAGTTAAAGTTAAGTTAAAGTTAAGTAATTTTCGATTTGCATATCGTCCTCAAAATTACAGTTCTCCGGTAAAGTCGACTACAAATCAAGCAATGCACATCGGTAATCGTTACCGATCGTTCGGTAAATTTGACAGCTAATTTTGCTGATCCAGTTTACAGATTTTTCGGTAATGTTCTCGATTCCGAAAACATTACCGACCGTTCAGCTGTTGAGAATTCGGTAAATGAATTACCGAAGTCGGTGATTTTTTCTAAGTGTGTAGAACATGGAACCATGGAAAAATGACCCCCGATGTGACATTTTCAAACTAACATCAAATGAAAGATGATTTCGTTTGGTGGGTGTTTCAGCGATTCTGATTTTTTTTTTTATTATTGATCTTTTTGTGCATCGCTGTTTATATGTGTTACCAAGGGCTTAAACGGTTGACGTTTTACTACACTCGCTTCGTTCTCTTCTTCTTCTTCATTCCTTTATTTAACGTCTCTGTTCCGCAATCTAGTGCCAATCACCGACAGACATCGATTGCCATCCATTGTGCAATTGCCATCGAATGTTCAGACGGCAGCTTCCATACCTGCGTAGTATATCGCACCCATTCAACAACACACATGGGCCAGGACCAACGGCATTACTTCCCTTCCGAAGGAAGACGTGATCAGAGATTTTTCTGCCTCAGAAAAATCCCACCAACCTCGGCTGGGATTGAGCATGGACCCATTGGGATGAGAAAGCAGTCACGCTTACCACTACACCACCGGCGCCGGCTCGCTTCGTTCTTATGAGAAACAGTCTGTTTGTATTCGTACACTCATGCTCTACCGTCGTCTTTCTCACACAACACAAACGGTAGAAGAACATTCGAGCAGATTTTTTTTTTTTTTTTTCAAATAAATAACTATCATATGACAATGTGTGATCCCGTTCAAATTCCTCAATTTTGTGTTAATCAAACCATTTTTGATCAGAAAATTTATTATTAGCACATCACTGCATGCTATTTTTAGAATTCACACAAGCACAACATTAGCAGCATTGTAAGAAAAAAAAACGTAAATACGTGATGGTCTGTCGTATGACAGATGATATGATGTCATATGATATTTTAGTTTGGTGCTGTACTTTGATAGCTTGTTTTGCAAGTGTGGGAAGCAATCATTATCAGCGATTATCATAGAAAATGGGTCGACTGCGGTGAACGCTTACACCACTGTGTGTAACTACCCTACTCACTGTACATATACAATAGTATGACTCGTATTACGACGATAATATCGAAGTCCACATGCCATGGCAGGTTGGCAAAACAATCGGTCGTGTATTTTATTTATCCAACACAATGTATAAATGTCATGTCAGTCTATGCGCGATCATGTTGACACCAGAAAAACCGTGTGTTTCAATGCGGTGTTTCATAATTGTTTTTATTAATTGCATCTTAAACAAAGGGCATATATTTTATGTTAGCAGTTTATGCCTTCTCGTGTTTGTGATAAAAAATTGTTCCACCACATAAATGTTAGTAGGTACCTACACTAAATATATTCATCGTCTGGTTTTGGTCACACTTCCGCAGGGTAATAAACTTTTCATATCCCATCCAGCATAGTTCATAAAAACAAACGGCGCTCATAGGGCTGTCCCGCGGCTGTCGCTTCCTGTCTGATTGCATAATGAGTAATGTTTTTAATTAATATTTTCTCTCGCCACAATCTCTCGTTCCGATTACTCGGACGGAGGCCAGAACCATAAATTTTGATTAAACTTTTCTGCCTTTCTTTTCCCGGTTTTGTAGCCACGTACCAGTCGCAGTTTGTTTTTATACGTGTTACGGTTGTTGTAAGTCAGCAGTGGGTGCCGTTTCCGTTTGTCAGCTATTAAGTTGTTTAATGTTGTCACCTCACCATCTCATAGCTAATTTGCCTGTATTTTTCTCTCTTCCGTTTCCCCGACAGGTCACATGACCGTTCGCAATGTGTAAAATTCCATTATGGCCCTGGTTAGCCATAGCATGGACCCTGTTGTTGCAAATCTGTTGCGTCAGTCCCGCTCAGTTAAGTGGTTTAAGAACAAACGATGGAAATCCTGGAACTAGCACCGGAACCGGAGGCACAGGAGGCAACGTGGTACCGAGTGGAAGTGGAAGCAGTTTCTCTCTTGGAGCAAGCAAGTTCAGCATGGTAAGTAGTAGTGACTGGTAGTGACGTGGTGAGATAGGACCATACGTATGCAACGGACGTGAGAGGAATTCTGGCAACTAACTCTCTGGGGCTCGGTATGCTGGCAGCTAAAGATAGTTGTTATCAATTTCAATCCCGGGCGACGGAGCGGAATTTCCTTCACAATTTGTGGGGGTGTTTGTTTGAAGGACAATCACATTCTGTGAACATTCCATCCATTGTCACTCGGAGCGAGTATGGCGATGATGAAGTGCGCGGTGTCTTTCGAAGGCAATAGAATCACCGCAGCTACTAGAGAAAATTTACTTAATTGGTTTGAAAGTTTATTACGACAACAATGGAATGTGCTACGTGTCGTACAATTTAGTTTGGATTTCATTTTAAGCGAAGTTGGCACTGACAAATACTCATCGGAAGAATGGAAATTTGCGACGAAAATAGTTCTTGCGTTCAGAATCAAAAGGACCTATTTTAACTGCGGTGGTCGATTCTCTCCATCGAATTTCTCTTTCGATTTCCACAATAAAGTCAACCAACATTTTACACCTTTATTTTTCAACTATAGACAGTGGTGTGTTCTTAAAATTTGAGCTAAGTAGTCGCACCCAATATTGACCTGCACCCTTAAAATGTAAATCTGCCTAACATAACGATGCGTCCGCCCCTGACGTTTATGGCGTTGTTTAAAACAGTGTATTATCTAGTTGATATGGTACGTTGCATAACATTTGCACTTTATCGCTGCTGCATGATGAGCAACGCCGTACTCTACACAGTTCGAAAAAGTAGTGTAAGTTTCTGTTCAGTATGATGCACATAAATGGAGCGTCACATATCATATAAGTTTACATTATATATCATGTAAAGTTTTGAGAGATTTCATGCAATCTAGCAAATATTGTATACAAAAGCCCATTGTTGTTAACAACATTGTTTTCAAGTTACTCGGTTGCGTTTTTGAAATTCAAGTTTACGTGAATGAATGTTTACATCACTATTAAAATTCAGAATTTTTATCTGTGTACAGGTGGCGAAGGAGGCATTTGCCACACAACAAAACACGAGGGGTGAAAAATCGCTCTAATGTTCCGTCAAAATTTTCCAAACACCAGAATTTTTTTTTTCTTTTTTATGTATCATTTAAGGTATCATACTTGATTTTCTCCAAATTTCAGGAAAAAATTTGAACAATTTCTAAAAAATTTCCTAAACATTTGTAGGCAAAACCTCGGGTAAACCAAAGTTTCCAAGACTACCAGTAAGTTACAAAATTAAAACCTTCACAGTACGAAGCCCTCCAAAGAAACCAAAAGTTATGATAAAATGCTATTTGTGGCTTAAGCAGCTTGGTTGAAGGTTGTCTATAGAATTCTAAGCAGCCTCATTTTTAAGTCGTTATACACGCAAACCAAAAATCTATTACAATGAATGTTAGTTCCGTTTCCTACCATCCTCTGTTCATGAACATCGCAACGAATGTTAGAAATTGACCATGCAGGCGATGTAATGTTTTTTTCTTTTTCTTTTTTATTTCGTGTTCTATCTACTCTTTCGACCATACCAGTAAGCTTGTAGAACGACGCACATTGTAGAACATTGTAGAACGACGCACACACTTGCCTCGAATCTTTCCAGCAGAAAAAGCATACGAAGTCGAGTATGCGAGAAAATGAGCGCTTCATGTTTGCTTTTAGGCTATCCATATTCAGAAGCATGGAGAAAGCAGTGGAGAAAGCACAGGTCTGATAATCGCAACGTTCGTGGTTCAGTTGGTAATCTGTTTCCTATTTTTTTCGACATAACTAATTTATCTCACTAATGCACTCTACATTTTTCGCTCTCCAATTTTCTTGCATTGGACCGCAGCTAGGTATATCGCAACCTCGCGGTCCATGCGGTCTCCACTAACATCCTCTGATGATGAAATCCCACATAAGTGTAAGCGAATCTTACATCCCTTCCGGTTGGGTGTACGTACACAGCAAAAAATTAATTTTAATATTACATCCAAGAGGATGCACTTTAATCATGTCGAAAATCTCATGTTATTTTTATGGCCACAAATATAAACAAATGCAGTGAAAGCAGCAAAATATCAGTTCATGCACTGTATTAATGATAATTTTGTCCTTTTTGGTAAGTAATATTACACCATATATTTGACACGATTGAAGTGCATCCACTTTGATGTGATATCAAAATATATTTTGTTCTGTGTAGAAACTTGAAAGTTCCGGTACGATAATTGAAGAGCATTCTAAGTAGTAGCTGAGGTTTTTGTCCTCTACACCGCACTTTTATGCAAGTTATTAATGTGTATTGATTTATCATCATTATTAATAGAATTGGAGCTGTTTGAAGAATTCAACCGAATCCTTCTTCGTGAGAGCTCCAGCATGAACCGCTACGTCATTTATTTATTTATTTGTTTATTTATATGGCTGAACATCAACAGGCGTTATTTGCTCCAATGATGTTACTTAAACTAAACATGAAAAGTGCTAAAACAAAACATCAATAAGTACATAGATAGTCATCTCATAAAAAAAAGGAACATTACTAAAAAAAACTAAACTGATCTAGAAAAAAAAACGAACTAAACCTCCGGCGAAGCAGCTGGCGAGTCAGGTCAAAATCAAACAGTGCGGAGACCCTATTGAAGAGTCTCTGTAAACCACCGATTGCACCGAACATGCTATAATTAGTTCGCTGTATGGGCAGGCGCAGCATTGAATTATTCCGTAGGGCTCGGGGTTGAACATTGATGTCAATTTGCTCAAGGAGGACAGGGCAATCGGTGCGTCCTTGCAAAATATCCGCAATTAGCAATGCCCTTGCTGTATCTCTTCGGACCGACAGGCGCTCCAGATGGATCAGTTGCAAACGACTTTCGTAGCTAGGCAATCGGAAGGGATCCGTCCACGGCAGTTTACGTAGCGCATATCTCAGGAACCGTCGCTGAACAGACTCAACTCTTTCGACACCGTTGTTGTAGTGAGGAGTCCAGACAACCGAGCAGTATTTTAATATGGAGCGAGACAAAGAGCAGTACAACGATTTAAGGCAGTAGATATCCGTGAAGTCTTTGGCAATCCTGAAGATAAACCCTAGAATTCTGGAAGCTTTGTCGACGGCGTGCGAGATGTGCTGCTTGAAAGAGAGTTTTGTATCCAGAATCACGCCTAGGTCCTTAATTTGGCTGACGCGCTCAATTTCAGTGCCTAACAAAACATACTGGAACATAATAGTCTCTTTCTTGCGCGAAAAAGAGATAACCGAGCATTTGGACGGATTAACCTCCATACGATTCAGAATACACCAATCAGCAAAAGCATTCAGCTGACGTTGAAGGAAGCAACAGTCTTCAATTGAGTGAAGGTCATTTAGGGTAGGTAGGTAGAGTTTAAGGTCATCTGCGTAAGATAATCGTGGTCCCTCAATTACCAGATTCACGTCGTTGAAATAAATCAGGAAATTCAGCGGTCCCAGGTGACTACCCTGGGGTATGCCGGATGTGGCAGTGAACGTACGGGACTGGTGATCACCAATGACAACAGTAAGATAGCGATCGGTGAGGTACGACTGAAACCATTGCAAAAGGCAGCTGTGGATACCAAGCCTGTCCAGTTTAGCGATTGATATGCGGTGAAGCAATTTATCGAAGGCAGCAGATAAGTCAGAATAAATGACATCCGTCTGAGCACGATCCGACATACTGTTAGAGATGTAGGAAGTAAGGCACAGCAAGTTAGTGGCAGTGGAGCGACCAGCCATGAAACCATGCTGGTCGATGCTAATATACGGCTTACAGTGAGCGAGTAACGGTTCCATAACAACGAGTTCGAACAATTTAGCAACAGCGCTAAGCGAAGTGATGCCACGGTAGTTGCCAACGTCCTGTTTGTTGCCTTTTTTATGTACTGGAAACATGTGCACTAGCTTCCAACAGGATGGGAAAACACCGACGTCCACAGACCGTTGAAAAACGTGCAGCAGTGGAGACAACAAACTGTCCAAGTGCGTTTTGAGGAACGCCGATGGAATTCCGTCAGGACCCGGATTGTACGACGACTTGAGTTTCGAGGAAGCCCTGAAAAACATCTCGGGATTGATGTCAATTCTGCTCATGGTTTGGCAGCCAGTCGGACATGGTCGTCACTCAGTCTCTCGTCCGTGAAGACACTAGCAAATTTTTCAGATAACAGCTGACAGATATCTTGCGTAGATGAGGCCACGTTACCATTATGTGTCATAGACGACGGCAGACCAGCTTCATGACGTTGTTCGTTGACAAACTTCGAAAACTGCTTGGGACGTGACTTAAGCTTTCTCTGCAATCCACGTCGATACTGAAGAAAGCACCGTTTCGCAACTCGTTTGTATGCGTGATTGATCCTGACATAGTGACGTTGAAGGGATAGTGTGCGGTGCTTGGTGAACTTCCTAAGAGCGGCTCTCTTTCTGGATTTCAGTCGACGAATATCGCTCGTATGCCATGGTGGATGGGTCGTATGATGATGAATCTTTTTCGGAACGTGTCTGTCAATGATATGAGCGGTGGATTCTAAACTCATCTGAGATATAATAAAGTGAGCTGTTGTCCCGCCTACTGTTGGAGTTTTCAGTGCCAGCTGACTGACTTGAATACGAAACACAACACCTTGATGAATTTAAATTGGTGTTTGCCCGCATGGTATTCCAACACACTTGTGGCGCAGTGGTTAGCAATCGTAGATCGCATGCCGAATACACGGGTTCGAATCCAAGAAATTTTGGTTAGAATGTTGATGCACTGCATAAATATAAGAATTATGATTTATTCGGGCCACTGATCATTTCATATTTACGTACATTAAATTGTGTTACTAATAAAGACTTGTGCGGGATCGCTCCACGTGGCTTGAAAGTTCTGTCGGAACTTTATTTGAACTTAATGGAACTTGAAAGTTCTGTCGGAACTTTATTTGAACTTTATGGAACTTGAAAGTTCTGTCAGCACT